TTTTATGTTTAGTTTGAACTGTTGAACAATACATCTTCGGGTAACTTTGTTCTTAATGATCATCAACAAATTTCAAGTGGCGAAACTGTGGTTGTTCATGATAAAGATCAATTGAGATTCGATAAATTTGTTTCAAAATTGTCAATCGATGGTATGCTCATGTTTCTATCTTTGAAGAATGTTGCTGAATTTTCTTTGTTTTGTTTAGTGGATACATCGATCAAATACAAAGTACGTGTAAAATCAACATCTTTTACACTTTTAAAATATGCTCTTTTGTTTTTGACAGACGCGGGCACCGTTGAAACTACTTGGCCCCGACGAAATTCTCTTAGTTCCTGATGCACTTTCAACGAGCAGAGCGCCAAGTCTTCAACCCGTCTGGTATAGTGAACAAACGCTCCTTGACAACGAAGAAGAAGAGAAGTCGACAATAATCGCAGTTCAACCTGATCGACGGCAGTCGATTCACAAACGTCTAACAATAAAATCAAAACAACCAATTTTATCGACAATTCAAAGTGATAGAAATGAAGATGAATGTTTAATGAAAAGAAGAGCATCAACAGAGACTCTCATTCCATCGTCGTTGACCTGCCCATCACCGACAACAATCTCATCAAATACAATACTAAATGATTCTGGTAAAGAAAACCGTAATTTATCGATTATTTTGAAAGTAGAGGCTCCAGTGTGCGTTCTACCACTCGATCAACATGAAGACTCATTTTCGAGATTAGAAAAGCAGTTTAATGAAGAATGTTTTGGTTCATTGAGCGATCGAATGTCAAGCCGTGCTCGTGCAAGTGTGTTAGAACCAACTGAAAGCGAGGTGAGTACAGATCTATGCTCATTACTATAGTTTCATTCATGTTTGTCTTTATCTAGGAAAAGCCGATGTTAACGCGATCACAAACCTTCTCCGTTTCCTCTTCGTCTGAGAATGATAGTTCAACAACATCGAATCTCAATAAATCAATGGCTAAAAATGAAAAAGAACTTTGTGTCAGCCCTTCGTCATCTGAGCTTGATCCGAGACCATCCGAAATCATCGAACAGTTATCAAGTGACATACATCTACAACAAAAAGAAGAGTCGAATGGTATGGTTTTCTTGTTGTTGTTTGTCGTGAGCATATGCTTATGATAATTTTCTTTTTCTTGAGGCGATAAAGAAGAAGCTTCATGTTTCCCTCTTCCACATTTAACACCCACGAATAGCAATGACACATTGCAGTTGACAACAATAACACCAGTGGATATTATTAATGCTTCGACAACATCATTGTACTGTTATTCACCAAGAAAAGTGTTTGAACAAAAACTAGAAGCAATAACGTCAATAACTAATAATGAAGATGAGCAAGCGAGATCGAGCTCATCAGTTGTGTATAATATCGAGGAAGGCGAAGACAGTGCTGGAACAATTACTCTGAACACGCTGTTGTCGAATTCGTTTATGGCACAAGATGATGATGGTGCGGATGTGTCACGTGTTAGTAGTTGTCATTCAGAAAAGGTCGCTAGTAATGTCCATCATCAAGTCAGTTCAACATCAGATCATGATGAAAACATAACTGGACACACCGCCATCTTCTCATCAAATGAAAATAGTCATCTTAACACTGAAAACCAACAAGAGAAAAGTGACGAAGGTGATAAGTCATTGAATATTATTCAAACAATTGACAGCGAGCTATTCTTGAAATCCGAACAAAACGAGAACGAAGAAGATGGAGAAGAGGATGGGAATTTTTCGTTTGAACTTGAGCAATTTCCGACTAATGCTCAGAATTCAAATGGTATCGATCAACAAGAAGAACATCGTCAGTCGTCCGTCACAGCGTTACCACTTCCACCAGCAATGTGTGAACGAGCACCGACCTCTGCTGATGTGGCTTATCGTGCTTTATTAAAACAACCGACGCCACGAACATCGCTTGTAACGAGCTCAATGTCACCGTTAGCTAGAGCATGTAAGTGTAGTTTGTTCCAAGTGAAAGTTGAGCAAGAAATCGACTTTCATAGTCTGCATTTTTGAAGGGTGTTTTCGTAGACGACCAACGTCTCAAGCATGCACTTCTGACACGGCTCTTCATAAGTTGGCATTGAGCTGTTTCGAAAGAAGAAAGTTAGCAATAGCATAAAATTTTTCATTTTTGCTTGTAGATGGTAGTATTCAATGTGTGGTGAATGAGAGGAATGATGATGGGAGCACAACTTCCTCAACACATGGCGAAAGCATGCAATCAGAAGAAAGTTTTGATAGCGAAGAAAATGTTCTTGAATCGTCCAAAACTGAGAGTAGCTTAAATGATAAACACAACAGCTTTCTGGGAAGTATGCTGTCAAAAGAATATACGTATAATCCTCCATCAAGACCATCAAGTGGTACGAAAAATGATGCACTTGTAGTTGAAGAATCTGTTCAATCAATAGTGGTTCAGTCCAGTGATGATACCCGTCATTCAATATGTTCTACAAAGAGCACATCATTATCACCGATGGTTAGTAATGAAATGCCGATATTACAATTATCGTTAGCTGAATCCTCTCCTTCTCCATCGCCACCTGTCACTAAGATAGCCTCACCGCAATCATCAACAACTAGAAGAGAGCAGCAAGGGGCAACGCTCACCCCACAAACTGGCTTGCATCCGTTGTATTCATCAACACCATCTCGCCAAATGATTACAATCAATTTGGTTGATGATGAACAATTAACGACTGTTGCACGAGT